GTTGACAACAACCTGAAACTCCCTCCTCTACTGCTCAAAACCTATGCAAGAATACTCATACCAACCCTGCAGTTGGTTGCCCAAACCAACTGCTATCCTTCCCGAAATGCAGATAACAATTCGTACCTCGAATGGATACTCGGCAGTCGACTCCATACCTCAATGACCCATCCGCCTTAAACCCAATCATTTGTAATCCGTAAAATTCTTGACCTCAATAGATTTCCTTGGTCGGCGGCCACCTGTCGTGGATACACCCATCCTTACATGAACATGCACATCATGCATTACCTCGCTCTGCACTTCGCCTCGACCATCAATAACCCTGGTCTCATGCATTCGAACTGCATGTCTCGATATCCCATTCTCTAACCGCCCATGAACGAATCTCTGATCCTTTCAATAAAGTACCCGGATCTTCCCCCACTTAGGGTTAGAACCATCGCCGTAGGCATACCAACAATCTACTCCATAGACTATTTCACCAGGTATATTACACGTGACCCTTGAAACAAATCGTGCAATCATCCAATGATCTTCCCGATAGGAACCAAGCAACTCCAAATATCCCGCATCTCAGATAAAACCTCAGAATCTTCCCAACGTGACTACTTTCTAGTCATCTTGAATGCCTCAGACCGACACACCGTCGGATACTCCGACTGTCCCTACACAGTCCTGACTCTTAGTCTGGAAATAATGCACTATCACGCACCTCGTTTCTGATTCCTTGACCAGCCTCCTAATGTCATTCAAATCTCGTACTGATACACCACCAGACATCTCCACTGTCACATAGTAGTCATAACTCTTAGTCTAAAATTAATGAACTATCACACTCCTCATTTTCGATTCCCCAACAAACGTCCTGTAACGCCCGTAGATCTGGGCTAGTCAATTTAGAGATGATAAGCGTCAAAAATGAATTTTTGATGAAAGATTATTTAGAATGAATAATCTTAACTAAGTTATAGTATATGTTACAAGGTTTCCGTGCATATAAAGAACGCCAAAATCCGAGTTATAACGAAGAAGTTATGACCAGTCGAAGTTTCTCGACAGAACCGACACGACGCTGAATGACGTAAAATGTGAATTTACGTTAGAGTGATATTTAGCCTTAGCTATCTAAACAAAAGTCATATAGGTCGTTAAACCATGAGCATGCATAAAAAGAACGTCCAAATCTGACTTCGTATGAGGAAGTTACGATTTTTCTATGTTTCAGCTTAGCAGTATGCAGCCCGAATATGCGATTTGAGATCGAGCGGTTTTTATCCGAAACAATCTAAACAAGAATCGAAGATCTCGTCAATTTTAGTGAAACAATAAAAAGATAGGCGAAAACGGACGTCGGATGAAGAAGTTATGAATTTATAACAGAGTTTTCCTGTCCTGGCCTACTAAAATAATATAATAAAAATAAATTCAAAACTAGCCGACGGAGTCTAAACGAAAGTTGTAGAGTGTAGTCTCACCTACGCGTGGATATAAAGAACGTCGAAAACGGAGCTCGCATGAGGAAGATATGAATCTTTGAATTTTATTAAATAATTAAAATATTTAATTTAAATATAAGTTCGATATTATCCGAAAGAGGGGGAGTCACCGACATTATCCACATTATGCTCAGCGTAACATAGAATTACGCCCAGCATAATTTGGGGGTTCAGCCCCCTATAAAAGGAAGTCGAGGGCAGCCGAGTTCTTTGCTCATTTCTTCCCTTTCTCTCGCGTTTTTGCATCGTTCTTCGTGCAAGAAATATCCTGAAGCCCCGGTATCATTCCCGAGCCCCGAAGCAAGTCCCAAGGCCCCGAAGATCCCGAGAAGTGAAATTCCCGAGCTTAAGCTCTGCCTGCAAGGAGCCCGGTTTTTGTGAAGATCTTCCAGATCTACCGAAGAATAATACTTTTACAAGCCATAGTGTTGTTCGATCATCTTCTAATCAAGTGAGTGTATAGTTACTTTCTTCTAACACATAAATATTATGTATTTGCTAATAAATACGTGATATGTGTTTATATATTGTTGTTTATATGTGTGAGTGTGTGGTCACTTTCTTCTAATACATAAATATTAAGTATTTGCTATGAAATACGTGCTACGTGTATAATATTTTGTTATTTATTTGAGATGATTGTGGAATGGATGAATTATATAAGTTTTAATGAGTTAAACTATATACGTATTTTTTATCTAAAAATATATTGGGTAGAACATGAGTAGATGAGGTTGTTGGTAGGTGATAAAAGGTGGGTTGAACCATTAGATAAAAGGATAAAGAGATAAACTTGTTTTAGATATGGATGTATGGATCATGTCAGGAGGTTAGTTTTAGATCCGAGAGTATGGATCAAATCAAGAGGTTAGTTTTATATCCGGGAATATGGATTTTTAGATTCAGGAGTACGGATTATGTATTTTTGAATTACGTGTTCATACAATAAGGTATCATGCGTATAATCCCTTTTAGGAACGTGATTTTTATACGTGTATTGATTAAAGTATGAAATATACATATGTATGTAAAGTATTTGTTATTGTCCAAAATACATGTTAGATATATTTGATAATATACAATGTGCGAATCAGTTATGGTTCAATATGTGTTAACATGTGAATATATGATATTATTACTTAAAACTCTGTGTTAAGTATACACTAGTTAGCATTGCCTAAACTGAGTTAATATCGAAAATTGATTATAAGCATTGTAGGCTTGCCTAGTGATGGGTTAAGGCTTAAATAGGGATGTTTAGTTCAATTAAGTTTGGACATTGGGTAGCCTCTTATTAAGAGTACGTGTGTTGTGAGATTGATGATCGGTGGAGTACGTCCTACGTACAGAAGTACATTTTATGTACGAAGTCTTTTTCAAAGCTCTGTGTCTTGGGTGCTGCTTGTGCCAGGGTACTATTATGTTCTCGAGTACGATTCCTTCGCATATCAGAGTACTATAATGTGCCAGAAGTACTATCATGTACAAAGTCTTTTTGACAATTTTGTGTGTCGGTTACGGGAGCGTACAGGAGTACTCTAGTAGTATTTCCCCATACTTTTATTTTGAGAGAGCTTTGGAGTCAGCATTTCTTTTATGAGGTGATCGACCAAGCTTCATATGTCAGCATTTTCTTTCACGAAGTAATTAAGGGAACTTCGTAGACTGTCTAATAAAGTGTGTCGGTAATAGACCACAAATAGGTATGTCTGGTGTTATATTGCTGGATAGGGTGCGTCTGGGGGTGAAATATCTCATGTATTCAGGCCACTGCTAGGCAAAGTTCGATGTTGTGATAGGTAGAGTCTAGGGGTATAAAACCTCATGATAGTCGGACCACGCCTAGGTATTGTTATGTAGATAACTACCCCTGACTTAAAATGTCTTGTGGTTCTTTCTTTTACGAACGAAGGTTTGTGGTGAAACTTATTCCATTCCCCTCATTTGATGTCATTATTGATCCTCGTTTGCTGCAAGGGAATTTCCGAAGCAGCTTCGTCAGTTTGTGGTTCATATCGATTCCTTAGGCTTGATCTCGTAAGATCATTGTATAGGGTCAGTATGTGGGGATCGATGGGATGGGATATATTGTTTTAGAAATATAATTTATATGTGTTTATAACTTTGGTGGTTTCGCAGGATCGAGATATACCTTATTATCACGTTGTTTGAACTAAGAGCTTTCATTCTCTGTGTTCCTTAGGTGATTGGGTTCACCAGGGATATTCGAACTAAGTGTTCATTAGATATTTGAACTTAGTGTTCATCAGGAATAATTGAACTAAGTGTTCATTAAGTGTTTGTGAACTAGGTGTTCATTGGGTAATATTGGAACTAAGTGTTTATTAGGTGTTCTTGAACTAGGTGTTCATTAATTATTGTGAATTGCGTGTTCACCAGAGGTAATCTAAGAACCTTGGCAGCACTAGATATTATGTCAGTCCCTTAGGGCAATCCTTAGGAATGAATGGGAGAAGGGTAATTGGTTCTTAAGATAAATCTTTAAGAAATAAATGGAGATAATGGGGGTGGGTATTTGAATTGATTGTTTGATAATTAAATATAATAATTATATTATTGTGGGTTGAAAACCCTATATGTTCACCAGGCTCCCAAGCCTGACCCACTCAGTTTTCTTTGTATTACAGGTAATGGCACAAGAGTATAAGTTGGTGGACTTGACGAGAGATTTTGGATTATAGGCCAGTAGTTATGAATAACTGTTGTAAGGTCTATTTTGTTCTGTTTATGCTTTTGGTCTGTATCGAACATGACATCCCAAGATTTTGTTATATAATGAAAATGCATTTCTTTAAAGAAATGCTTTGATAATTTTTATCATATTTTGTTTTGGGGACAAATTCCGCAACTGTTTTCTTTAAAAGATTACTCTGATTTTAAAAACAAAGCATAAACAAATCGGTCATTTCTAGCCGTGAAATTGGGGATGTCACACGTCCCATCATGAGAATTATCATGATAGCAGAGACCTTACTCCTACACCCGATATCCATCATAAATGATGAGGGTCGCCGCCCCGATATACTCCTCTTGATCACCCGACACTGCTGCTAGCATATGCCCTACAATACTCAAATAGGGTATATCCTTGTCCTTAACCATCTCAGTTCTCACTGATGGCCCTCCCATGCTATAACATTACCTTGTGGCAGATATACTGCCTCAATACTTTGGTGAAAGATCGCAACCAACGCTACCCCCTAGGGTTTACCTCCAAGCTCAAAAACTGGAAGCTCAATATCTCTTCTGCTTCTCACCGAAAATAGCACAAGTCTGGTCACAGAAAGTGGCATCTCCACTATTGGCCGATCGCTTAACTCAGACCAAAATCCTCCATAAGGCACCATCTTTACTCCTCCTTGAGTCTTGTGACTTCAACTAGCACCCTACCAAAAATCTCGTGGAAACTAACTCAATTTCCCTCTCAAGTATCCCCCATCAAGAACAACTTTTCAAATTCATCAATGTATTCTCCACTAATTATCTTTTCTTGCCTCGAATCAACAATCTTCTTTTAAGTGGAAATTCTATGAGTAGAAGGAAAATATTTTTTATTAGCTTTCGTTTAAGAGAAAGCCAAGAACAATTTTTTTTTTTGCCTTCATGAGTTCTCTTGGCCTTAAGCCCTTCAAACCACCATGAAGCACCACCACTTAGCTTGAGAATTGCATACTTGCATCTTTTTTCGTCATCGACTTCCTTAAACCCAAACATTCTTTTAATCTTCCTTTTCCACTCCAGGTAGTGTTCAGGATCAGTTCCACTAACAAATTTAGGCAATTCAGACGCCTTGAATTCTTCCACAACCCTATGTTCGTCATATCGGGGTTGCCTTCGATTACCACCCTCTTGGACATTTCTTAAGGCTTCACGAACATTTTGTAGGAACTTAACTCTGGATCATCAAAAACCATTCTAGGCTCTAATACCACTTATGATGTGTGTATGGGCTTGATTTAATGAGTAGGGTAGTGTTTAGATAAGTTAAGAGAGAATGGAAACCACAAATGATACGTGTATAGAAAGAAATGGATAAATTAGTATCAACTTAAGACTTATTAAGTTGTATACTAGTGAAAACAATCCAAGACCTATTGGATTGAATTTGTATCAAGTCAAGAACACGTCCCATCAATGATAAGTAGTGAATAATAGCAATAACTCCAAGTAAAAAAATGTTCTTTGATTAAAAATTCGTGTGTAACTTTTTTCTATGCAAAAATCTGGCTTATATGAAACCTTTATTACAAAGTTGGTGGTTAGAAGCCAACCAACTACCTACTCATCAAAACTAGTAAATGAAAATTAATGAAACTTATGAAACAACACAAAAAACGTCTAACATACTTAAGAATGAAAAAAACGTTCACACTCCGTTAAGGAGCCATAATAAGCATTAAACTATAGCACTAATCCACCAAATAGTATCAAAAACGGCTAGGAAACTTTATGAAGCAAAAAGTAATGGTTTTGAGCACTTAAGAAACCTTAAAAATGTTGTCCTAGTCTTTATGCAACCCTAATCAAATTCGTGGGTTACCATGTACAACTCAACCATTAAGCCCAAACCACCTTCTAGCTACTAGTAATCATTAATTCATCACATTTTGGGCTTTCATGATCCATGCATGGATCAATTAGATACTTAGACTATCCACATTTCAAGACTATAGTCAACTCAATCTTTATTTAAAAAATAATTTCTCTTTCATCATAATTAGAAAAGCAACTCATGACAACTTTGGTCTTTGATATCAGTTGGGTTGATTGTCATCTCTATATTTTATACTACCCCCATCCGATATTTATTCTCCACTTTTGAAATTTTATTCTTCAATTTTGACCTTATTTATTTTTTTCATATATAATACTTGATGCAAAATATAAAATTAGATTGTGTTTTAAATGACTTTTCATTGTTATAAGTTTCATCAAGTAATATATAACGCAAATAAAAATATCAAATGTCAAAGTTGAAGACTAAAGACGATAGACGTTAAAAGTGGACAATAAATATTGGACGGAAAAAGTATTATCTTAATAGATTTTTTTTTGGTCTTTAGTGAACTGGTTGCAAGAGGCTAACGATGGGGTAGTCTTAGAGTCCTCAATATCAAAACCGACGTAAAGATAAAATGTCGTGTATTCTTTTTTACCTATTCTAACTATATACCACAAAAGTTATCTCTTAATTTTTTTTCTTGAAAATAAAACTATAATATATTCTTATAATTTGATGAGGCAAAAAACTTATACTTAACCTAGAACAACTATAAAGGAGAACTTTGCACGTTTCAAGAAACATTTCAAAATATAATATTATCACAAGGTAAAGAAAATTAACTACATATACAACAATCGAAGTACCTTAGTTACCCTCAGAAATAATTTAATAGAAAAAAATCTTGTAAACACATATACCAATATGATCAACATCATTGGACACTAATAGCTTAAAACTTCCAACATTTGATTACTATGAAGTTATTTAGTTTGATAATACCACGTTATTATGACTGCATGTTTTATTAAAGCTACAACGCCCGAAGGCATCTTGTGACAACGGTTTTGACTTTCCTTGCATACCTTATATTTATGTCGACTTTTGCAAACTTGTCGAAATCTTCACACAATTCCCCATAATAGAAATCTTTTGCGTCTACATCGATTGATATATTATCGAACAATGTAAAAAAATCTTCATCTTTGTCAAAAATTCTCTTCTTGAGGAGAAATTTGGCGTCGTCGATTGATTGAATTAAACTTTTCATGAGAAATGCGTACGAAGTTACATACTTTGTAGCATCATAGCAACAATTCTCCATAGCAATGAGATTTCTCAACACAATTTCCATAAGATCATGATGTATCAGATTTGGGATTGTAAGTACTCCATTGTTTAGCTTTACTTCCAAGATGTTTCGAGATTTGGATCCCTTTATTTCAGCTCCGGTTCTGTGAAGTTCGGTTACTTTTGGAATGACTATTTTGAGAAGTGGTTGTTTGGAGTGTAGTTGGAAAATATGTGTTTTGGGTATGAAAGATTGGTGAATCAAGTCAAGTAGATGGTGGATTTCTTGGCCATATCTCTCTCGAATATAATACGGGTCCTCATGAACTGTTTTCTTAAAAAAACGAAAAGCTAATTCGATCAATGAGTAGTCTCCACATTGTTTAGGGGTAGGAACAATATGGAATAAATGATCAAGAATAAAGAAAGGGATTTGATTTTCGAGTAAAATCAAGTCATGCCTCAATCGATAAAACACTTCATATGTTGCCAAAAACGGATCCCCTCTTCGTCTAGTTCCTTTACAACATGACTTGTTAAAAAGCTCAATAATGAAACAACCATCGATCAACATCATTTCCACAAACTCATCACTTTGCATATGAATTTCTTCTCCATAACATTTTCGAGCTTTATCTTCTAACACTTTGAGTGTCTCGATACACTTCCCTAATCGTGCTTCAACATTTGTTGCACGAGAGAGAAGGGTGTTGAGATACTTCCATTTGTAGTCCTCCATGGCTTTTAACTTTTCTTCGCCACGATGAAAAGGGCCAATAGAGAGAATTAAAGGGAAATATTTATCTTCGTGTTCTTTATAAAATTTCTCTGAAACTTTGCATATGCGACCAAAATGAGATGTGCTTACCATTTTCTTCTTGATGGATGAAACAAGACTCACATGCTCTTCTAATACAATCTCCTTTGAAGCTTGAGTTTGTGATACATGAAGATCTAACTCCATCTTCGAAGATATTTCTTTGTGGGAAAAAAACAAAAACAAAAACAAGTTAAGGTATATACAAGTAAATATGCAAATTATAACGGATACTCTAAAAAACAAACATACCCGATTCACAAGAGTCACAAGATGAGCAAACAAAATTCTAAGTTTTATAATCAAAAGTATCTGATTAATAGTCTAACATGTATTTTTAAACAATAAATCTTACCGCACATTAAAAAAACTTATAAGGTTGAAAGAGTAAGTCATAAGACAAGAGAAGAAGAATAAAAGGTAACTTGCTCAGGATGACAAAATAAAAGTGAAACACTCGTACATGTGTTTCGTATTGTCTCATATAGCATCTTGTTAGACTTGGACGAAAATCCAAATTTTTGGTGAAGACATTACAAGGCTTAGATTCCTTGTCTTTTTATATTTTCGTAATTAGTGTATCCGGTATTTGACTATTTAATTTTATATAATTTAATGTTATTACTATATATTTTTATGGGTTAATGTCATAAAAAGAAAACCGATACTAGATGCGTTTGGTTGTGATAAAATTTCTAGTTTTCAAAGAAAAACAGAAATTTTGAAAACGTGTTTTTTTCGTTCAGTTTTCCAAAGTTTTCTAAGAAAATGAAATTTTTTATTTTTCCAAATTTTATGTAAATTGGAAAAGTGATTTTTAAAGTTTTCCAAAGTTTCTAAATTTTTGATGAAAATGAAAACTCTTAGCTGTTTAAGCCAAATGTGTTTTCTACAATTTTTCATTGAAAATCGAAAATAAAAAGTATCTCTAATTTTTGAAAACATTTTCTTGGAAAATGAAAATAGTTTTTCACAACCAAATGCACCCTAAAATTTTTTATGTTAATTGTCTTTTAACTCTAATTAATAGGTCGCTAAGGGTGAGTTTGGTTGTAGATTGTTGTGTTTATTTTCTAAGCAAATATTTTCAGAAAATAGAATTGAGATTTCATTTTCATTTCTCATTTAAATTTTAGAAAATGTTGTTAGTTGGAACCGGTGTGATTTTCATTTTCTATCTTGAAAATTTAGAAAACCTAGGGAAAAAAAAAAAAAAAAAAAAAAAAACAAAACGTTTTTCTACGTTACATTTAATTAGGAAAACATAAAGTTTTCATTTTCTTGTAAAATTTTTGAAAACTCAATCAACCAAACACAATTTCAAAAATTTCATTTTCATTTAAAAGATTTCATGGAAAATTAAGAAATTTTTCGCAACCAAACACACTCTAAATGGTTCATTTAGGTCAACCCAACATTGATATTAAGACCTATATGGCAACCAATATGATGAAATGTACTCCAATGTTGTAATGAAAACACAAAAAAACGGTTCAAGTAACGACCTACCGAATACAATTAAATGTTGAACAACCTATTGAATACAATTTGAAGATAAGTGACATATAATGATGGCATACCACACAAACTTGAGTTTCTTATTCTATGGTGAAATCAATAAATTTGTTTTGTCAACTTAGTAATTCCCTAGGGGTTTTTCTTGTTGTAATATTCCTTCATTTCAAATCAAACAATTCTTTGAAGACAAAAGAAAAGTGAAAATTGAAACATATACATACACAAACATGTAAATTTCAAATCAACTCTTAAATTTCATTCATCACAAACTAAACCCATCTAACATAACATTTTCATTTTCTCTAAGTACACAACAAAAGTCTACTCCAATCACCTTCGACTATGTTTCTTTCTCTTCCTCATTCTATCCTCTTCACTATCCAAATCCGAATCACTTGAACTCAAACTACGCCTTTCCTTTCTTTTCTTTTTTCTTCCTTTACTACCCTTCTCCTTCTTCTTCTTATTCTCACTTTTCTTGATTTCCGTTTTATCCAAATCATGTGACATCAGCGCTTTGATGTCCAATTTGGTCTTTTCCGGTTTCTGACACTCGTAAGTCCAATGTCCGATTTGTTGACACTTTTGACATTTCTTTTGGTTCAAAGTCGCTTGCTTTTCTGTGCTTTTTAGATACATTTGTGTCTTTAGTTCTTTCTTTTCTTGCCATCTGCTTGGCCCTTCTTCTTTTTGTCCGTATGCATTTACATTACGAGTCGCGTTTGCTGCTGCACGTTCAGCTTGAACACGGCTCAGCCCTTTTGTGGCCGATAAAGCTGCATCCTTCATTTTCTCTGACATGATTTACAACCAATTTGAATCCCCTAAACACAACAAAACATGTCAATCATGATAAAAGATACACCTATACACATAGCAAATTGAACATACGGAATTCTGATCAATCAAGTATTTAAACTTTCATCGAACACTTAAAGAGCACTGAATTGTTGGAACTAACTCCTCTGTTAAAGAGTGAGGTTTTTTTCTGCAAGCATACAGCTTTAAGCAGAAAACAGTACTAGGGTTTCTGGTGAGACAACAACCTGAAAATCGAAGTTCGATGGATATAGTAATGGTATGATCGAGGAGACGAATCGTGATTCTAAGCAATAAATACGATACAGATTCAACAACACATCCCCAATTATTAATGAGATAAGTAATTGGCAGGATAAATCATAACAAAATTGATGTACTAATGAAGGATTTTAGCATAAAAGAGACTAGAAATAAGATAATTAAACGAATTCTTATAACGAAAGAATTTTACACCAACAAGCTGAAACTTACCGGAGAATGATTCCCGTAGAGAGTTTGCTGCAGAGGTTGAGGTTGAGGTTGAAGTTGAGGTTGCCTAGGGTCTATACCTCCTCCAGGCTGAGTCGGTTTATGGAAGAGGGCAAGGGATTTCGGTGTCTGTTAATGACGAAATTGCTCCATTTTTTGACCTAATCTGGCAATTTCAGTCCTAAAATTAAGATCTTGTAGAATGTATTCACCCGCTTTGACGGCTTTAGATAAACTCATAAAAGGGCTTATACATAAATGGTTAAGGTAATTTTTTTATTTGAATCATTATTTTATTTTGTTTTTAATTCGGTTTTGATGTCTTACTAAGCTAAAATGGTCATTATTTCTTTATTTGTTTAATTTTAATTTTTTTTTATTTGGACCATTGAAATTAAATTTAAAAAATCTTTAAAAAAATGATGTATCAAATATCCAAAAATCAAACATGATCCAAACATATCTTTTAATCTTTATTTTATCTTTAGGTCTTTATTTCTTATGTACAAATTCATATCAAGGAATTCAGTGGAAAATCCTAATTAATAAATTAATAAATGAATATTAATTTTGTCACGTGTTAATCTATCATAAGTTTTGATTTTTGTTATTTTGTGGTATTTTTAAAATTAATAGTATCTACATGTCAAATTGATAAATTCTAGGTTTTTTAATTCTTAAAATTAAAAAGTCACATAATACATATAGTTATATAAGATCGTCCGGTATACGGACCACGAACCCGGTCGTGGTCTACGTGGCCACGGACAACAACCGTGCACACCACCCCGGCCGGTCGTGGTTCGTCGTTTTCGTGATGGATCGTTGTGCCTACGACGAGACGCGATGCCAAATCAAGGCTTCTTGACTGATTTATTCTCTCTCAGCCTTACTTCTGTCCCTCTCTACTTTCTCTCTCTTCGTTCTCACCGGAGAGTACTCCGACTGTGGTGGGGTGGTTCGTGGTTGCTCCAGTGGGTGATCTGGTAGCTCTCCACGAGTCGTGAAAAGTATAAAGGATGGTCTAAGTAAAATATTAAATGTAATAAATATGATCATAAATTGAAATAAATATGTTTTTCCTTCTTTATTTTAAAGCTTAATTTTAAAAAATACCTAATGTTTATATTTTGATATATAATTTTTTATTTAACTCATATAATATATGGGTCTCACACCTAGTAATATCAACAAAACTCTGACATGTGAGAAATCGATATTCCACCTCTTCATTAACTGTGACTTTGCAAAAGGGACCTGTGAGTGGATCTTCAAATGGTGTGGTATCAAAATACAGGATTTTTTTCCTATTAAGGAGTTCATCGACTTTGCAGCATATTGGGAAAACTGTCCAAAAAAACGAGTACTCTTCAATACCATTGTGTATTGTTTACTATGAAACATCTGGATAGCAAGAAAATGATAGAGTTTTTAAGGAACTAAAAATCTCTCACACAAAGGTGGCAGATAATGTTATTTCCATCTCCTACTTGTGGTGCAAACATAGAAATAAGATCGGGTGTGGGAATTGGGTGGAATTTAGCATATCACATTTCTCTTATTATAATTATGTTGCGTAAGTGTCAATTGAATTGTTATGTAATTTGCATTTTGCTCCTTAGCATCTTACTAAGTGTAGCTATTTTATATATATATATATATATATATATATATATATATATATATATATATATATATATATATATATATATATCATTTGTTGCTTCAAAAAAAAAGTTCCGCTAATTTCAGAAAACATATATATATGAAAATTGAAATTTTAATAAGTTTTAGAGGATGACACGGACCAACACATAACGGAACAGCAATAGAGAAAGTATCAATACTAAATGGAAGTAGTGAAAAAGAAACTCCCACCTTTATTATAAGGTTTTTGTTGTACATGATCTCACATAAGCATGAGGTAGAACGAAATATTTTCTTATAAGGGGTGTGGATATATTCATTATCACAACGCGTTTTAAAAACGTGAAGACAACATATTTCATAAGAACTATGCAGTTAAGTGTGTATGGACGAGAGCAAATCAAAAATGGGTGACCGTCTGGATGTTTCCGTGCTAGAATACCAAAATAGACAATATTATAATATGTGTCAACGATGGATGTTACAACTAAAGTTGTGGACTCAACCTAAGTGTTTGGGCTTTAGATTTATTGGTTCAAAGACAAAATAAACCTAACTAAGCCTTAGTAATGTCGGTCTAAAACTATAATCTTATTATTTAAAATATCATACATTCAAAGACAAAATAAACCTAACTAAGCCTTAGTAATGTCGGTCTAAAACTATAATCTTATTATTTAAAATATCATACATTTAAATCATGAGATGTAAAGCATTTAAGTGAACATAGTATGATTAAATTGATTATAAGATAAGTGATTAATAAGAATTAAATGCATTAATAAAGATGTATAGATATCATGGTCCAAAATTATAATATTCTATGGCTAGACTAGTAACGAAATTTAAGTATAGTATCTTAATGAAATAGGTTTACCCAAATAATTAAGACTTTGAATTAAGGTTCTAAATAACGTAAGGCGTGACTTGGCAGTAATGTCAAGCCTCAAGTTTTTCCAAACCTTGGCGAGCCACGTCGTTTGTAAGGCGTGACTTAAGGCGGCAATTTTATATATACTTAATATTTTTATATGTATTTTCAACTATTATTCTATTTTATACACATATATGAGTTACGACGGCATTTTGGTAAAGCTGGGCAGCAGGCACAAGCCTTGGAACCATAACGAACTTTTTAGAACATTGCTTTGAATTAACCGGGGGCTAGGCACCATATTTTTTTAATACAAAACATGTATGGTATTTATTACTTGTTACCTAGGTGTGACAACCAAGTAAAGTGTGTCGCCATCCAGAATAGTGCACATGAATGTAAAGGAATAAGGTTATAACATTTAAATAGATTCGAAGTCTCATAATCGAGAATACGCCACCAATTAAATAGTATAGCCAAGAATTACGAACGCAAAAAAGTCGTAACACCCTACGAATCGAAAAACGTATTTGGAAAGTACGCGTCAACGCGATTCCAAAAAATATAAAATTAGTGAAAGTCCTCCTTCGTGCGAAAGATATATGATTTTTATAAGAAATAAAAACCAATCACGAATAAAAAAATTACAACGTAAAAAGTTACAAATAAAAGGAATTATTTTTAGTCAAAGTCACCAAAAGAAAAATTATAGTACTCCTCAAGATAAGAATTTAGAGACAAAGAAGGCCAAAAACGGAGTTTGCATGGGAGAACTATGATTTTTGTAAACCCATTAAGGGTATAAAAATATAGACTAAAAATAAATTTTGAATCATCCAAAACAACCTAAAGAAAGTTGTAGTACTCATCAAAATCTACATGTGGGCATAAAGGTTGTTGAAAATAGAGCATGTATGCGGAAAATACGCAATTTACAAGGTTGATTGTTTCATATACACATTGTAAAGGATAAACCTAAATGTAAACTTAGTATGACCGAGCCAATTTGGCTTTGAAATGCATTTGACAAATATGTTGAAAGTGTATAAATTTAAAACTTAGCACAACCAAATCGTGTCGGCCCTAAATACTAGCTACCAAACGTACGACAAAACATGAAACTAAATATCATCTCGGTACATCCAAACCGATCCGACATTGAAAAGGGACTCGTCAAGAGCGTCGTAAAAGACAAACGTAAGCACGAACTTAGTGTAGTCGAACTAAACCAACGTCAAAGATATTTTACCAAATATTGTTAGTGCCTAGGTCATTGGTAAACTCAAGTATAACATATATATACAATACTAAAAGGACAAGTCAACTAAGGAAGGGCGAGAGGAATAATAGCAAACTTAGATGAAATTAGTGGTAACAGGTAGCATCCATACAAGAAAAATAAACAACAGACATCCCGCATTCAAAGTTTAAAGATATACACAAAGAAAACAAATTCCAAAGCGCAAGAGTACAACCACATTAAACAAAAGATCAATTAATTTTGAAAAAAGGTTAGAAAGTCATTCATCACGGCCCACCAACACATATTGGGCCCACTAACACGCCAACTCAGCTACCCCTGGGAATCTCGAACCAGCATCAGTTGCTTCAGCTTGGCCACACCCACTCGGCCCTCCTTCAAATCCTCCAAAAAGGAAACATCCTCCGTAAAAAATGCCTTGAACCAATTTTGAGCCAGCTTTAACGTGTTCGGATAAATATAAACTGGTACCCCCAGCTCAGACTAGCATAGATATTTGATTTTGATCTTAGCGCAACCCTTGTAAAGGCCATACTGAATGCAAGCGGGTTAGAATTTAACATTTTCTTGACCATACTCTGGAGAACAGAGAAGATGGACTAAATACCCTGGGATGTCCTCCCTTAATAACCATTGGATGTCCGATAAATAGCTTTACGACTGAGATCGACATCAATCAAGTTCTTCATAAACAACCAACTTTTCATTTTCCAAGGAAATTAATCTGCCATCGGATGCCATACCCTCCTCCTGAAGATTCTTCACCTGACTCTGTAAACTGCTCACCTGAAGCTTCATACTGGAAAGTTTGTTCTCTAACTCCGATATATTACCCCAAAGAATTGTCTTAATCTTCTCTTTCTCTTGTACCAAAACATGTACCTCAGATTCCAACCTCTTGATTAAACCTTGGTTCTCTTGTTCCAACACACAGACCTTTTCCTACAAAGCATTGATTTTCTCACAGCTTGAACTCACATTGGCTGCCTCTTGCTCTAAAGATAGTTTCAACTTAGTAAAGCTTTGATTCTCAACATTGACCTCGACTAACTGACACCGAAGATCACTGTTTTCAAATGTCAGAGATTTTATACAAAGGAGATTCACCTTTAACTAGTTAGATAAAGAAGAGATTTAAAGTTCACATGATACTTGTTGATCCAAACGACGCAACACTTCGTCAAATGAGGTCTGGCTGTAATGCCTGGTTTCCTGTATGTATTTAACTTTCAAATTATTGGAATATATAGAAGAACTCGATGACTTGGATGCCCCAAACTCGTCATGTGGGAATGTAGTTGGGTCGCATCTTTAAGTGATCAACTCTACGAGTTGGGAAGTCCCAACTCGACGAGTTGGCGGCAAGGAATGAAACCCTAATTTTGGGATTTTGCACCCTATTTAAACACCTTAACCCCAGGTGTTGGCCTCATCTTTCAGCCTCCATTCTCCCTTAACCTGGTCTCAAAAGCCTAGGGAATTTTGAGTGTTGTGAGCCCATTTTGAGTGCATTTTGGTGTGTTTGAAACTCTTAGAAGGAAGAGGAACTTGGTGGAAGTTAGTGATTCAAGAGGAAGCTTCTAGATCTCAATTCCCTGCTCCATTTTCAACACATTTCTGGTAAAAAGTCTCAACCTTTCTTAGTTTATGCTTAGATCTTCTTCTTGGGACTATTTTGTATGTTTTTGATATGTTGGAGTGTGTGATGGGAGTTTGACATCCCATTGAGGCAAAGTCCTTTAGATCTAGAGTTCTAAGGATCTCTTATGCATAAAGGTGATAATTTTATGGTCTTTAAGGGCTCCATGCATCCATTAAGCCCTTATTATGGTCTCTTTTAAGCTTTTGAGCTTCCTCTAGCCTTGCATGTGAGTAAAGTTAGAAACTTTATGTGACCTTTCAGCTCTTAAGGGGAGATCTGAATTCATGAGCTTTATCTTGAAGATTTGGTGATTAATGTTTTGGCCCTTAGCCTCTTAAGATTAGGGTTCGAGTTTAAACCCATTAGGATGGTTCTTAATGGTAAAGTTGGAAACTTTACCCTTCTAGACGTCATTTCTATTGAGATCTGAATGGAAGAGCTTTAGTTTCGACATTTGTGACTTATTGGTATAAGGGATCTTGCTGACCGAAGAACTCAGTGAGTTCACAGGCGAACTCGGCGAGTTGGATGGGTTTTTCCTGACTCTACTAAGGGGGGGGGGGGAACTCGATGAGTTCATGGTTGAACTCAACGAGTTGGAGCGGTTCTTCGTGATTCTGTTAACTAATAAGGAAACTCGGTGAGTTGAGTTAACTCAGAACATTGACTTTGACTTTAACCAAGCTTGACCTTTATGGGGTTTGAAATATTGATCGGTATCTAAGGGATTGTTTATCTTCAAGGGCTGAGTAGAGATGATTTCTGGGGGCCGAGATATATCCAGTTATCATTTAGCATTCAAGATGAGTTTCCTTACCAGGTTTAGCGGGTCGAAGGCACCAATGTCGGCACATGTTTATGTCATGCTGATAGAATGCTAGTTATCTTTGTGACTCTTGCATGTACGTATGTTTATATGTTATTGGACTAAGGTATGATGTCGGGTGAAGCCCGAT